GAGCTGGACACAGGCCACCAGCTGCCCGCAAACTGCTCAGCTCCCTGTGCGTGGAAAAGATCGCTGTAGTGATCCCTATTTGCCCTGTCATGGTCTTCTCTTTAGTTTTTCCTTCTAAAACCCCCAAGTAGAATTGAATGGATCTAATTGTGGCTAATAATTAAATTTAAACCAAACTAAAAACTCCATTTCTTGCTCAAAGTAGCCAAAGTTCAAAGTCAATAGTTGTATGTGACTCGTGGTTACTACACCAACACAGAACACTGATGCAGGCTGGCCAGATAGCTCAGCAGATTAAAGCGCCTGCTTAGGCAGAGCACAGCAGCTTAGGCAGACCACCCTCACCCCCAGGGTGCACTGAGATGGCAAATGAGACTGGGTGTGGTAACGCACACCTATAATCCCAGCTCTTGGGAGAATGAAAACAGGAGGATCACTGTGAGTCCGATCTCTGTAGTGAGACCCTGTAGACCCGGAACTAAAAACATTAAAAAACAAAAAAAGAACACTGATGCCATCACAGAAAGTTCTGTGGGATGGCTCTCTAATCCTGCCAGAGGAAGTTTAGAATTGGTCCTGCTCTTCTTCACAAGGTAGGAGAAATGAATAATGAAGGAAAAAGGTACTTTATAAAGTATCTTTTCGAGACACTATCACCACCGGCCCTCCAGACTGCCCTGCCAGGTGGGCGTAGCAGGTTTCCACACACAACTTGCACACATGAGGACAACTGGTCTGTAGCATCAAGCTGAGCATGGTCCACAACTACTGGGTTAAATACAGCTAAATTAGTACCAGGTCTTCCATGTCCAAGGTTAACACTTGTTACTGTTACACGAAATTGCTACAAATGACATTACCTGCCCGCACTTTATTTACTACTTCTATAAAAGCTCAGGCCTCCCGGAACAAGGTCGCCAAGCCCCTTTAGTGTTTGTATGGACTGATTTTTGAAGCACTAAGTAAACTTTGTGTGGTATAGTTTGGCAGCACTAGAATTAGGAACCCTTGAGGTTTAAGTCCAGGCCCATCCACTTGTACTTTATTTGATAGAGAGCAAGCTGCTTCATCTATGAACCTCCACTTCTTTTTCTCTAAGTGGGCAGCATGGTGTTTTCAGAGGATGAAAAAAAGTGTACATGTGAAATAAGTTGTTATACCGTGGCTGGCACATATTAGTGCTTAATAAATAATAATTATCAATGGTGACTGGTAGAATTTATAATGCTCTGTCATGTGTGATAGCCTATTGAAACTTTGGAACATCATTACTATATAAAAAAGCTGCCCCCTTTTAAATATATCTGAATCTCAGAGAGTAAGGAACTGTCTTGAGGTCATAGAACCGGAAAGTTGTTCATCTAGACGTGAACTCAGGCCACTGCAATGCCCAGGCAAAGCTTTTCTTGCTTTTGCAGGAGGGAAAGGAACAGTGGTACCGAGAATTGGTTAGAAGAAGCTTACCAGCCCCGATTCCCACCTTCCCTTCTTTTAAATGGGCAGTGAATATCTCCTAGCTCCACAGAAAAGTGTGGTGCAAAGGCAGCGCGGGGCTTCTCCTACTGCGATGAGCGCCTGCAGCCCCTCTCACGCGAGACCCCGAGAGTTCCGGCCCCTCTCACGCGAGACCCCGAGAGTTCCGGCCCCTCTCACGCGAGACCCTGAGAGTTCCGGCCCCTCTCACGCGGAGACCCCGAGAGTTCCGGCCCCTCTCGCGCGGAGACCCTGAGTTCCGGTCCCTCTTAACGCGGAAAGCAAGTAACACCTGCGTGGCCAAGGATGTGTAAGTGTGACAAGACAGCACTGCGAAGTCCTGAAAGTGTGTAGATCCGAGAGTCTTCCAGACTGCCCTCCTTCCCAGCCTCCTGCTGTGGCAAAGAGCACCATGGTGGCACCCAGACTCCTGGCCAAGGGGGCTGGGCTTTGGCTGAGTGCGACAACTGACCTCTGAGTAAGATCACAAGTCACTGAGCTTTGGAGGTATTGCATAACCTTGTTAGGAAAAGCCGATTAATATGTCTGTCAAAGTTAGGACTGAGAGGTGCTTACCCTGCCACAACGATCTCGAAGTCCCCGTCGTGGTCCACATCAGTAACTGCCACACCATAGTTGAGCTGAGTGGGGTTGCTGTCATAGTCGGGGGGCAGAACCGAGTTGGTGACTGCGATAAACATGGGTTCAGCCCGCTGGGACCCCTCCGTGGGAGGCAGAAACTGCAGCAGCAGCAGAAACAGTAACATCCTGAACATCTGAAACCAGAAGGTGTAAGTTGCTGAAGATCCTGTAGCCAACAGTCCCACCCAGGCCCAGAAGTTCCTTTCTCCCTCGTCGTGGGGGCGTGGCAAATCCTTTAAAAGCGCAGCCTGTTCCAGCACTACAGGACACCTTTATCCTGCTCTGCTTTCCTTTGTACTATAGGACCCAGCACTGTATAACACACAACACAATCTACTTATTTATTGCACTTATTTTTTGCCTGTCTTCTCCTGCTAGAATATAAACTCCACTTGGGCAAGGATCTTTGTCTGTTTTATTCACTGGTATACACCAAGTGAAAACGGTACATAACAGGTACCCAATATACATGGAAGGAAGGATGGAAAGAAGGAAGGTAGGAAAGGAGGAAGGAAGGGAGGGAGAAAGGAAGGAAGACAGGATAGAGTATATACAATCTTCCATACAATGGAGAAAGTCTGGAAAAACGCAGAAAGTAACAGATTTCAAACAGTAAGAGGTAGGGATGAGACAACCCCCCTCCCCAGCAGGTGCAGGTATAGAATGGGAACAGAGGTGGTGAAGGGTTGTCTTCCTGTGGAATGTATTCCAGAGGTACGCGTGGGGGACTCTGATTTGGCAGGCTCCGCAAGCCAAGATCCCTCCCCAGGGCAGCCGGCCGTCACCTCCAGACGGAGAAACAGTCAGCTAGGGCATGCATTCCAGCAAGGCCTGGCAAGCAGTGCATCATTCACTTGGAGAAATTAAACCATTGCTTGTGTGTTTTATTATAAATTAATTATGTATAATGCATTGTATAATTCATTATTATATCTGTAACATAACTCAGGGTGTTGCCAAGCAGCCTGGGGCTATGGGAGCCATGGCACACACCCAGGAGACTGTTGAGAGTGGCCAGCGAGGTGGAAGGACTCCACCCTCTGTAACTGAGGGCAAGTGAAACACTTAGCATGCAGCAGAAGGTGCTGCCCTGAAACTGTCCTTGGGACTTCTGAGAGTACAGTCAGCCCCTGTGGGCTGTTCTGAAGGTTCACTGGTACAATACCCCAAATCCTGTGCAGGTCCAGTCCCATATCTAAAACAGCCAGGAAAACCCAATCCCACCCAGGCCCAGAAGTTTGTTTCTCATTTGTTATAGGGGTGTGGCAATCTCTAGGCTGCCCTGACCACCCTCTTTAAAACTGCCATGCTGGTGGGCCATGAAAGCCAGGAGACACCTTCCTGCAGGCAGGCAGCAAACCTCTTCCCAACAGAACCCTCGCTGCTGCCTTCTCTGTACATCTGGCAGCCAAGGACAAGGCTGAGCGAGGCTGATGTCTTAATGTGGAAGCACAAAGAAGACCTGAAGACCGTCTCCCACATGGAGACGGATGCTCCTGCCAGCAGATGAGCTGGCTCCGGGTCAAGAGCCCAGAGACCGTGGTGAGGGCCCAGCTGCTGCCCTCAGTTGCTCAGGAGCAGGAGCTCCCTGATGCCTTGCTGCACAAGTTGGGAGAGGCACAGGGACAGGGCTCCCACCGCAGGGCAGAAACGACCTGAGCCTTCCCTGGCAAGGAGGCTCCTGTAGTGTGTCCACGGGCTCAGGCTGGGAGTTGGACTAGCAGTTGGAGCTTATTCCAAATTACAGAGGCATCAGAATGAGATGGTATCTTTTCTGGGGCTGTCTAATCACTAAAAACAAATGCATCACTGTAAGCTCTGCAACGTGGCAGAAGTTTGATAGGATCAAGGAAACTCATAATTGGATAATAAGCAGCTGGGGTGGGGTAGGAAGATAAAGAGCATTTAATAACCGGGGTAGACATGGTAAAATGTAGCACAGTTCTGAAGATCCCTGGACTTTGCAAGGTATGACCTTTATCGAGGGACAGCAAATGAGTTTAATTCGAGAGCCAAATCCAATTGACAGGCAGTGGGGAAAGAGCGATGAGCTTACAACACCTGCAACGGGCACAGAGGAGTCGGTGTGAGGCACTGGGTGTGCCATCTAGGAGTGAGTTGATTCCTTCCAGGCATCGTGTCTGCAGCTAGAGTCACTGCCCTCGGGATGGCATCCTATTAGTGTAATACAAGCCTAACTGCTAGAAACTTCCTAAGGGAGGTCACGAGGGACAAAAACCATGGCCCAGCCTCTTGATTTTTACCTTTTCTCTGAAAAGGGGAACCTTTTTTTTTTCTTTTTCTTTTTCTTTTTTTTTTAGCGGAACTGGGGATTGAACTCAGGTCCTTGCACTTACCTTCCCCAGCCCCTGAAAAGTAAACTTTTAATTAAAGGAGTCACATGGGAAAAAATAAGCCATCCTATATTACCATTTCCAAATAAGTATCCCATGGTAGACGAATTAAACATTAATTACTTGTGGGCTGACTTATTTTGCTTGATGATCTTGAATAAGTCACCGCCTCTTTAGATCCCAGCTTCTCCTCCAAAATTAAAGTTTGGGAGGAAGTCTCTAAAAGTCTTTTCTGACTCCAAAATTTTATGATGGATCAAAAGATTCTTTTGAGAAATAGATTTTTAGAAGTCTCTCTCTACCTCCATACTGGCTTCTTCTATAATCTCAAGACCAACTTGTATGATTTTCCTTTTTGAGCATATTAAGTATTTTGAACAAACGGCTTTCCAGAACAGTCCTACAGTAGCCCAGGCCAAGGCTGGAGAGAGACCAGGCAACATCTACGGGGATCCTGAATTCACTCAGCACGGGTGGACCAGGGAATGGTCTCCCCTGGGGCAGTGGGGCAGGGAGGACACCTCCTCTACATTTCATTTCTTAGCCACACCAGATGCACCCCATGCACCTATCAGGGCACTTGGCTCAGTCAAAAGTCAGAGGATAAGTGGTGGGTTATCTTGATGGCATATCAGGAAACAGTTATGGTGAAGAAGCTCGGGGGAAGATCTGGTAAATATCCTCTAAGCATCAGCTGGAAGAAATCATTAACATGCTCCTCCATGCCCTCACTACTTGGAGCAGTCCATAGGCCAAGCAGTGTTAGCATCATTTAGGAGTCTGTTAGAAATGTAGACACTTGGGCCCCAACCCAGACCTAATAAATCCGAATATGCATCTAACAAGATTTCAGGTGATTTGAATGTACATTAAAATTGAGAAACATTGCTTAATCTTGGCTGTACACTGGAATCACTTAGGGAGCTTTAAAACAATCCTCATGCCTGACAATGATTTCTTGTTTAGGACACCAACAGCACAGGCAATGAAACAAAAAATAGATAAAATGGGACACATCAAATTAAAAACATGTGCATCCAAGGACACTATCAAAACAGTGAAAAGCGGGCTGGTGAGATGGCTCAGTGGTCTAAAGCATCTACTTAGAACTAAGCTAAGCGAAGCACAGGGACCACGGTTCAATCCCCCAGCACCACATGCCAGCCAGCCCCTGCCCCCTGGTGGGCTGAGCTGGCCACACACACAAAAATAAAAAAAAAAAAAAAAACAGTGAAAAGCCAACCCACAACATGGGAGAAAATATTTGCAAGTCATAAATCTGTTAAGGTATTAATATCCAGAATATATCAATAAACAATGGTTACAACATGATAAAACAGCTTTATTCAAAGTGGGCAATGGATTTGAATAGACATTACTGTAAAGATATACAAATGGCCAAGGCAATTGTGAAATATTACTAACTACATGGTAAATGCAAATCAAAACACAATGACATATCATTTTATACCCATTAGCATGGCTATAATCAAAAAGCCACAAAATGACAAATGCTGGTGAGGCTATAGGGACCCTGGAACCTTTGTGCTGCTGTAGGAACGTAAACTGGAGCCGCTGCTGTGGAAGCCAGTGCTTCAGTTCCTCAAAAATGTCAAAATAGAATTGCTATATGATCTACCAATTCCACCTCCACATATACACCCCAAAGAAGTAAAAGGATGGGGCTGGGGAGATAGCTTGGCAGTCTAAGTGAGGCACCTGGCAAGTGCAAGGACCTGGGTCTGTCTGGGCACGCCCATGCCAGGCACTGAAACTGGGCACGGTGCTGCATGCCCTTAATCCCAGTGCTGGGGAGGCTGAGACAGGAGGATCACTATGAGTCTGAGCTGTGTAATGAGACCCTATACCAAATAAATAGATAAATAAATGATTTTTTAAAAAAAGAAGTAAAAGGAGAGACTTTAATGGATACTCATATACCCAGGAACATAGTGGCATTATTCACAGCAATCAAAAGGTGGAAGGAACCGAAATGTCAATGGGTGGGTGGATGGGTAAACACAATGTACTGTGGACATTCGCTGGAATATTAGTCAGCCTTAAAAAGGGATAAAATTCTAATATGTGCTACAGTGTGAGTTAATCTTGAAGCTATTGTGCCCGGTGGAGTAGGTCAGTCATAGAAGGACAAAGACTGTTGGATTTACCTTGCACAAAGAACACAGAGTAAGCAAATTCAAAGAGATGACAACTAGAATATGGCTCCCAGGAGCTGGAGGAAGGAAGAGTGACGAGTTAGTAGTTTTTGGGTACAGTGCTTCAGTTTGGGAAAATGGAAGAGTTCTGGAGCTGGATGATGGGACGGCTGCAACAGCGTGAGTTTACCTACTAGCACTGGTAAGATTTACGTGTACGTATTATGCCATAGTAAGACAGCACTGATGTACGGGTCTTATCCCAAGATATTCTGACTTTTTTTTGGAAGGGATGTTGAGACAGGGTCTCACTTTGTAGTCCAGGTTGGGCTTGACTTCACTATGTAACCCAGTCAGGCCTCAAACCAAGGTGACCCTCCTAGCTCAGCCGCCTGAGTGCTAGGATTATAGGTGTGCACCACCACACCCTGCCAAGGTGTTCTGGTTTAATTGCTCTAGGATGCAGCCTGGGAATCAAATTCCTTTAAGTTCCCTTATGATTGTAATATATTGCAAAATGTGAAAATCATTGTTCTATACTAGTGCTTCAGGCTCCTGAAACTGTAATGTACCCATGAATCACCTGATGGTCTCATAAAAAGGCAGATTCTGATTCAGAAACTC